GATTTTCACTTAATTACAACATCGTCAACTATAAATGATCACCAAAAGTCAGTCAACTACGACGGTATAAGGAGCCAGGAGACAACGCATGCTAATGAAAGGACGCTCATCGCTACCACTCGATTTAAACTCATAAAGGGACTGATCTCATGAGAGAATTCGCCTTGAGATTCAAAGTTCATAAACAAAATACCTCCACGTGGTGCACCCTGGGCAACGTATACTCATACGGCAAAAAATTCTATTACCTGGCAGTTGACTTCGGACCCCACTGTATGGCATATTCCACCACTTCCACAGTACTACATCACATTTTTTCTAAATTTTCAACCTTCGTCTTTGAAACACTCTTCCCTCTCCCTCCCTCTCCACTTTTTCCCTTCGATGTTCCTTCCCCTCTGTGAAGCCTGAAGTCAACTAAAGGGCTAATGATAACCATCAAAACGCCTGCCATTTGATATAAATAAATAAATACTTCAGAAAATTTATTAAATGATAAAAAAAGACTACAAAAATAGATTCGAATTTATCCTAAGTAAATTTTTATAGCGCCTCTGCTGCTGAAATCATACATGTTCGTGGAATACCTTTGCCATGTCCCGGAAAGAAAAACAATTAATTTCAGTGGTTGGACATATCATCTTAATCAATCGATCAATCAATCAATGGGTCAATACCCACTTGGGCATCTGAACCAGAATTTACTCAGAAACCGGAATGCAAATATTCATCGGCAAAATTAGTGAATGGGAGAGAAAGCCCAGTTAGCAAAATGACAAATTGATTGATTGCTCGATTTTCCACCAGGGAAGCTTAGTGACACGCCATAGCTTGAGCCAAGATGCCTATGTTGGAAAACGCCTTCTTCAATAGATTTGGTAATTATTAGCGTAAGGTTTTAGACATACATATTGAAGAGCGAATGTGTTCAAAAAATTGCGCTTTTATGAGAAACTCCCATTTTATATACCTTTATCTCACCATTAGCCAGTGCTATTGATTACTTACACCACTGGTTAAGCACCGATGACCATTGATATATCCTGGCCACCGATACACGTACTAGAACAAACGATTCTAGAAATCACCACTATAGGATGGAAGAAAGAATTATACCTACAGAAATATAAAAATTGGCAGGGATTAATCTAAAAACAGTTACTTAGAAGCCTATTCTTGGAAAATGAAATAACAGGAGCCCATGCAAATGAGAAGTGCTATTTGAGGTTATTTTTCTATCGGAGTATCGAAAATTGACCCTCAAAAGTAAGATTTAACTGACACGAAATAAGCAAAACTAGCAGCGTAGCAACTCAGTTGCAATATTCAGCAGAAAAGAAGCATGTGAAAGGGTGCTGTGGATGGTGAGATAAAAGCCAAAGCTTGATTGACACAGCGAAGCTGTGGGCAAATTAATCCATTCAGCTCAGAATAAAGTTAATCAGTAATGAGTTGCACAATGCGACCTATATGCATTTTCCGTATAGGAATGATTAGGATGTGTTGCAGCTGAATTCGCGTCTTAATTGGGGAAATCTAGAAATTTTGCAGGAAATTGTTGTCAGCTATCAATAATGTTCTTAATAAAATTCCTGACTGGTACCTACGGAGTGGGTATATCCACACTAGTTAATAGAATTACGACTCAAATAGGAAGGCGGAGAAACTTTGACATTCTGTTAATCTGCATGCAACAAGTAATTAAAGAAAGTAGTAGGCCTTCTGATCCTCTTCGAGCCAGTATTAAAATTCGCAAGCCAAATTAAAGTTTGAGCTCTCCGAATTTCCAGATGACTTTTCACGACCAACAATAAGGTAAACTGCTCATTGTGAACACTCAACTGGACATTCTATCAAAAACCTACGTCTACTTGCTTATTACTTATATGCTTAAAATTTCAATTTCCAACTCGAATTAACACTGTCATTGCAAGTGGAGAGGCTACCGTTGTCCATTTACATTCAGGAAGATCATTATTTCTGAAACCGACATTTCTGACACCCTACAATAGCTCTACTGATGGAAATACTAACCCAAATATACTAACGCCGTGGCATTAAGAGCAAGCTTTCCGGTTGGAAAGCGGCTATTCCAGATTTCATGACCACGTTCGAAATACGCTGCCAGGAAGACGCTTAAAAGCTGATATCCCATTGTATGTAACTAAACTCATACAAAGCCCCACTCACTATTTGATATCTATAAATTGTAGTACATTGGCACTGAAACGGCCTTTCTGTTAGCACCTAAGTAGTGATTAATTTAATATCACGACAGACATGCGGAGGACACCAACTAGCATTCAATACAGTACTAGTTTCCTCTCCTTTTTTCGAAAAGGAAATAAAAGGAGCCACCTATATCAGAGACACAGATAAAGTCCAAAAGTACATGGTAAAACGATTCGCTAGGTCGATTACAACAACTAATTCTTTTTGCAAATAGTCATATTAGCCCCATAAAAGTCTCAGTATAAAAACACTAGGTAATGCGATTTCAGAGGCATAATTTAATTAAAGACCGCCAACAGGTCAAGGAGAAGAGTGAAGTGCACAAAATCTCATCTCTAAACAGGGACAAGCCCATTTCAAATGACGCAAGTAGGCAAAAAAACTACTCAGGTTTATTATTCACCTCAAGCATAAATAATGCTATTAATTGGAATATTTATAAATTCAAACGTCATTCGAATTAAAATAAGAGATACAAATTACAAATCAGTAAATGTATTGATAGATTGCAAAATATGCCATTTTCTCATTAGAATTTTAATTAAACACACAACCGGAAGAAAACATTATGCCAAGCGAATTTACTAGCAGAATTCTCAATAGATTTGGCAACCCACCCAACGATGAAGAACTTGTCAAATAATGTCAACTAACAAACGCAAGTGAGACCCATAGGGGGAGGGGGGGGGGTTCATTTTCAATATGAACCCCTAACCCGATATTTACAAAGTATAGGAATTTTGCTCAGGGGTCAAATCTGAGAACACAGGCTCGATGACCATCGGTGTACATTCAGTGAACGGCACGCGTAAATCATACAAGAAACAAGAGGTAAAGGAGCAATAAAATGATCCTTCGTTACCAACAATTAGCATTGGGAAGCGATTCACTGCAATTGTCCCAGCCCTTATTTTAAAAGAAATGAGATATAGCCCGTAAATTGCCATAATTTCGAAAAGAACTCTGCACATTATTAAATTAATAGGACAGAGACTTGAGGTAGGCACGCTCGCCATAGACATATGAACCAAGACGTATTTCTTTGAAACCAGTAAATGGCCTTGGAATTCGGTGGAAAAAACCAAAGAAAGTCATAAATTGACGGAAAGCAGGCGAAGAGACAAAAAAGTTTATGAAAAGTTTAAGCATCACAATAGAATAGGTAGTCCATTCAACTGGGCAATCGTACCAATTTAGCATGAACTAATCAATACCCAAGCGTAGGCCGCCTCACAAGACGTCTTCACAGATGAAGACGACTGTTATGAATATTGGCGGATGACAATAAGAAATCATGCATTCTACAAACTGAGAGTTGAGTTCCGTTTATTGCCCAGAAACGGAAGTGGAAATAATTAAGTTTTCCTAATTAGGCTGATTATTCATTATTAATGAGCGATAAATTTCCTTTTATGGTTTTTTGCAATAAAATGTACAACCTCCCAACAGAGGGAAAAGACCTGGGCAATAACTGAAACATGTTTTTAAACACAATATTTCTAATGTACTCGTTATTGGAACAACTTCGCTTTTACATTATGCATCTCTTCAAGTCCTAGTCCAAGGTAACTTGGTAATATCAGCTTGTCTAAAGATGAATAAAAATGTAACTGTGAGCAAATGCTTCCTGAGAAATTGAGATGCATAAGTGTGATTTGGCGGACTTCCAATCAATTTTCATGACTAAAATAACTGAACACATTTGGTGTTCACATAATAACAATTGAAGAGCCTTTTTTAATAAATCTGAAATCGCTTTAGAGTAGAAGAAAATTACTTGTTGGACTAAAGGGTAAGTTGGTCATAGACCAGAGAGGGCCAAATGATCTCCAACCTCACAAATAACTTTCTTTACTTAGCTATCACATTGAATTAGCACTTGTTACTATTAACTGAAAAGCATCCCAATGGCTTAGAGATGGAAGACGTAGCTGGCAAGTTAAATAACAGAATTTGGTTGTGGGGGTTCTTTACAGAACATGGCACAAAACATTATAAGGCCGAACACAAGACAGTAGATGTCGATGAGCATCTAACAAGCAGAAATCAATGATTAGCGATAAGACATTATTTGCAATAACTACAGCCGGTAAAGCTGTATGTGAATGTGCAATTGTACCAAGATATCTAAACAAATGTTAATCATCACAGTGGGACAGGACTGGCGCATAGGAATGATATTTTTTGCACATAAACCTATTTTCTGTAAATAAATTGGAGTGAATCATTTAAACTATCTTCGTCATGAGTAACTTGACTGATTCCTTCAATGGGACACTTGTCCCTATGACGCAATAGCAGACTAACTCACCGACGTCATAAACACATCAAGAAGAAAAACAGGTGGTGGTTCACTTCCTCAGCACAGTGCTTTGTGCAGTGGTAACGCGATAGAAAACAGACACTTTCAAATTAGACGATAGGGTTGCTAAATGATGTAACATCGGAACATTGGCCATGAGTTAAAGTCCCCCCCCCCACCCCAAAAGTGGTCTAGTCACTCATGGTCCTAAACAGACAGTTCTCCTTGTTATACTGAGATTCGACTCAGAATGCTGTTCCTCTTAGACATGGAATCTTGACTCAAGAGACCTTGTGGTGGACCCTAGTTCAGCGTGAGATTACGCAATGTGACTGGTCAACCTGAAAACATCTGGTTATTTGTCGACCGAAGGGACTAGCTCTCCATACAATAAATACCAGAATGAGCCAGTCGCAAGATGCCGATTTTGCAGATAACGTCACTGCCTTCGAGCTTGGCACTACTGAACCCGTCCCTCACAGAACTGCAATGAAAGTAGCCACAAAGAAGCTTCTTACCGACAATCCTCGACTAATTTAACGGAGTAAAACTCAAATGACAAGAGCGTTAACTCAGACGAACCAGGGCTATAGTTGGCTCACTACCATTTACACCCCACGTATAGAAAAAAAGGTTAGAAGCCTCAAGCAAAGCATTTTTAACGTATCTCGTGCTATTATGATGCTGAGTACCAACGTATCGATACAACACGAGGATATACTGCAAAGGAAAAGAAATGCCTTTCCCAAGTGGATCCAGACTGGATTGATGAGCCAACTAATTCCCTGACGAAAATGAAAACTGACAGACATGTTGCTGAAGACCTTAATCGTAGAAGCCAGATTCTCATAGGATTAAGCTCCAACTTAGCATCACCAAATCTAATGAAGCTGCGGCATACCTTATGGAAACAGATTCACATTCGAAATGGTCCAATATTTCCTACTCCCGCCAACAACAAGCCAATCAGTCATTGTCATCCCTTCCAAATTATTGCAAACTTTGCTTAGATCGACTTATCTCTTGTTACAGCATTCAACTCTTCTAACAAAATTTAGAGATCAAGACTTGAGGACAATGTGTGACTATCAAGAAGATGGTGTGCCTACAAAATGCTATCCAAGAAGAGCACATGGTTTGGGCGATCTTGTGTGTGCTTGAAACTATCATAAAAACCACCAATGGGTAGCTGTCAAAATTGTCCAGTCATATGGATGATTATCTGCATTGCGTCTGTTCGACATCACAAACAATCTAGTACAATAATGATTGATTTATCATATTGTTAGACACCATTCTCGAAAAAATGCCTTGATGTAACTACTATTTCATTCCATGCTTCAGAGCTCCATCACTCCACAGCCGTCCGCGGTCCCATAAATGTAGTGAGACAATGAGGAAGAAATAAGCAAGATACCCCCCCCCCCCCAATGATTCCTATCTTTTACAATTTAAAAGGCTTTAAGGTGAGTAAAATATCGGACAATCTTTCAAGAGTGATTGAAAAGAAAGGGACAGAGACCAGATGGCAATAAGACTAAATGAACAAGGAATGAATCTTCAAAAGCCTTTAGGCAACATGCCAGTCAACACCTATCGATTAGAAGTGAATGACTAGCGATAAGATTACCACTACAGCTGTGTGGGGTGTTTGCAACTGCATAACAAAACAGACGTCAAGAAATAGACGACGTGACATGACTGACGTCTTTTGAAGAAATGAGTTTCTTTACTTAAGTCCACTTTTTCACAATAAATAGGGTGTGCTTCAGGATATCTTAGTATTGAACTCGTAGATATTTGTTCTGATACCCAGGTGAAAAGTTAAAAGTAAATTGATTGCAAAATAGAACCTATGGAAAGAACCTCCGAGAAAAACACCTTAATTCCTTCAAATTCGAGCACAATGGATTTAAGCAATCTTGGAAATAAATAATGAATTTAAAAAGTCAAAGCTTCATTTATTAACAGGCGTTGAGATACGTTGAAATGTAAAAATGAAATCCCAATTGAGGGCAGAATTCGGCCAAAATCCTCTTTGCTTTGAGAACAAAAATAAGGCATAATAGGATACAACGTGAAGTTACATGCCAAAAATATAATTAAAATTACAGCAATTAGTGGCGGTATAAAACAAAGCATATTTATTGAACGAGGTTACTTATACAACTAACAAATAGACACAAAAGTACTTACCGGTGACCGGAACTACTGGCTTCGGGGGTGATTTGAAGGAATTGATGAAGAAGTTGATGACAAAGCTCAAGCTGACCCTGACGGGAAGAAACCTTTTCCGATATATGTGGTGAAGAAGATGATCGTTTCCGATGAGGATCAACAACTTTATAGGGTAAAGAGGGTACAATATCGGCAGCGTCGTCATCTGATGCATGAATCGAAGGATCTATGTTGTGATGACCCCGCCCAACACGATGACGATGAAAGAGAGACATCTTATCTGGGACGATAGAAACAATTTACAACACCGCCCATGAGGTTACTAACGCCTACAATACCCCGAAACCAACTATTCATAATATATACTTGTAGCGGATTAATAAGCAAGTCATTATTATTTTCTAAACAAATAATCCTCACAAAGTTCTAACTAATACAAGTAAGGCCTCAATAGCACATAAATGGCTTATTCAGATGCAGCATGTTCATTTGGAAATGCTGTTCAGTTTCAAAATAACCAGATACTTCACTTCATCGTGCAAAATATTTGGGCATAAAGACAAAGCCTTTCCCAAAGATAAACTATATAACAGGTCAATTTCAGCACAAAGTACGAAGCAGATGTCGATATTTCAGTAATTCTTTCACAGAAAAAAGAAGGAATAAATCGCAAGAGAGTCATCTTACAAAACACTCAAGACATACATTAATAGCGCATTTATTTTTGCACACGCACGAAGAAGTCATCAGCCAATGAACAAACACCATGGAAGATTTCCCATTATCATCGAATTTCTAAGTTTATCAAGAAGAAAACTTGATCAGATTTAATACAATAATATCATTTACTTTTATAATCATTATTTACATAAAATATTACTTATAATGATATATCGAATTATTTTAATGTCAATTTATTTGATGGTTCTTCATAAATTAGCAAGGCTTTATTATTTGTATTTGATTTTTTACCATTTGGACAAATAATATTTATTCAATATACTTAATTTTTAGGAATCGCAAGGCTCGTATCATGTGTCGAAATTGCTTTTCCCAGAGTTTTCAAACGAAAATTTAAGTATATCTTCTGAAGTATAATTACCATTCTCACATGATTTAGTTTGTAACACATCCATTTAATGTTGCTGGTAATTATCCGTTCTTCTAAAACCTCGAACGCGGAGTTGAACAAAGTGCTGAAATTTTCATTTAAGATGTCATTAATACGAGTTATTTGCAATTTGGGCTAATTTTTGTGGGATCTAATTTCTTCTCAAGTAGACTCTGGAACTATAATATCTTTATGTCGATGACTGCGGAATCGTTTTCATGATATTTTGTTCCAGCCCTTCAATCATGACAGTTTCTTTGGGGAAATATAATGAACACATAAAATGGTCAATGGAATTAGTACAAATATTAATTTCAAAAAGTATTCAAGATGCCTATTCACACCAAAATTTTGCGATTTTATGCGTTTTCCAAAGTTTTTTTTCACATACCATGACTTTCATGCAACAAAAGATTCCTATCTCAACAGTAGAAGAATATGGAAGAATGAAATGAAGAAGGTTAAAGAATGAAGTTCTGCATAGTTGGCATTAAAGCATAATTTTTCAGATGTAGTCAAAATACATCAAAGGGGATGTTTATATATCTGCGTACTGGAAACTAAAGTAAGCCACAAGTAACTACTTGCGCATTAATGTAACTTTTGTAAACAAATTAAAAAATAAATGGCTTTAGGAAGGTCTTTAACTGCTTTAAGTTCCTGTGTGTTAATGACCAAAAGGTCCAAAAGCCATTAAATTTTATGCATAGCTTTATAAATTCTAAGTAGTTAATTTTCTGTGAAATCTTTTTAACTCTTTGTAAACACCAAGCCGTCCACTTATTCATTTACAAGTCTGTGAAATGAATGAGTAATCTTATTTCATATTGACAATCACCAATATTTACTAAAACTTCCCAATTTTAAAGATTTTTTAACAAATAGGACTAAGTCGGTAGATGATTTGTTGGATCAATGAGAGATGAATCGAGGGTCCTTCTGTTGTTAAAAAATATTCTCCTTTTTCTTCAAAACCTGAAAGGCGAATGAGGGTTTAGTGACGTAAAAGGGATTATCATTTTCATACTTAAGCCAAGACCAGTCTGTACGCAGTTTTTATTAAGTTGGTGGAGAAATGGCGTTAAGAGATGACGTGTCCCACACTATTCTTGCTGATCTCGGATCGCCAATAGTCATAATTAACTTGAATAAGTAAATTCACACCTATCTTCTTGAGCAGCTTTTTTTGAATTGGCTGATACTTAGAGGAAATTTTAATTACAAAAAAGGGGCAATGAGAGAGGCCTATTAAGGTGAACTTAATTAATAATAATAGGTTGTGTCCGAGGCTATGTGGACACAATTGATTTGATAGCTCGCAAGATGCATCCGAGGCAAAGTGGGAAATCAAAACAGATTGTTAAAATGAACAGATCTGGCCTCCACAATGCGTAGATAATTTAATTGGATTTTTGTTTGGTTTGGCAATATCAATTGAGTGGACGGAAAAATGAGATAATCTTGACTACGGAGAGGAATCAAACATACTCTGATCTCCTTATTCCTAGGGCGACTTAATAAATGAACCGACTCTTTGCGTCTGGATGCCTCAACAGAGATGATAAAATCAGAGAATCCCAAGAATCGTCCAAATAAATAATTATTCAACGTTCTTCTTTCTGTTATTTGGTTTAGTTCACTTTATGAAGATATCATCTAAAATCTTAAAACCTCTTCATATCTCGTGAAACTCAAGAAGCAACTTTAATTTTATGCTTTGTCATATTGATACATTAATCAGGAACTGATTATAACGCTTTAATGGCCATATACGTTGCTACATCTGGGACAGTGTTAAACAAATCGTTACTTTAGTAGAGCTAAAAAAATTACTCATGACTTTCGTCAAACCATATTCTGACACTGGAAAATATTAGCTAAATATCTAGAAGTGCGTTAAGGTAAGGCGGGATTCCATTTTCGCAGTTTAAATAACAAATCTAATGAAACCAATGTTAATTAAATCAAATATTGCAATATCCCCGTTGCCCTTTGCCAAAAAATAAATCATCTTTTTGTCTACCACAATTGAATTAAAAGAGGTATAATTTAGTGTTTTTTCCACCGTAAATATCTTATTTGCTATTAAATTTTATATTCCACAATGAGGGGTGTGTGATAGACTTAACTCCACGTGGTATACCCTGGGCAACGTATACTCATACGGCAAAAAGTCTATTAACTGGCAGTTGACCTCTGACTTCAAACTACCATGACCCCACTGTATGTCATATTCGACCCCTTCCACAGTACTCATTTAGCCTTTTCTCTGCCTTTGTGTCTGTCTGTCTATTACATCTGTGGATCGCTCTTCTTTTCCCCTGTCAAATTTTTCTCACTTTAATGTTCCTCCCTTCTGTGAAGCCCGAAGTCAACTAAAGGGCTAATGATAACTATCAAAATGCCTGCTATTTGAAATAAATAGATAAATTTATGTTACTT